CTAGAGTTTTTCATTTGTTCCTCTTCTCTTATCAATCGTTTATACCTAATCACATTCGCGCTAAGTTGGAAAAGATCAGGAAATTCCCTGTCCTGAAATTTCTTTTTCAAATCAAAGCTCAAACAATTTTGAGCGATTTTGACAAACTCTTTCTCGGGCAGAGGTACAAAAAATTTGCTTTTGACTGTTTTAAACCTCTGAAAGAAACCTTCTGCTCATTCATTTGGCATTTGACGTAAATTCGCCGAATTGGACAAATTGACTTCAGATTCAATCTTATAAAACTGAGTGTAGAACAATTGTTCTAGTTGTTGCCATGTTTGAATAGAGTTTGTTGACAAATTAATGAACCAGGAGAAAGCCACTCATGTTAACAAACTAGGGAACAACCTCATTTTGTGATAGTCAGTTACTTCACCACTTTGCAGTGTAAATCGCCCTATATGTTACAGAGTAGACACTTCTCCTAAACCAGTGAATAATGAAAATTCTGGCACTTTGTACCCTCTAGGCTACGAATATGCCTGATCTACCCAATCAGGATATGACTTTGCATAAGTCGGCCTAATAACAGGATGTACCCCAAAAGCCATTTGATCTGTTTCCATAATTTGATTCCTCAACATGACATTGAGATAATATGGAACTCTTACAGGTTGGTTTGTTAGTTGATTTACTTGAGGTCTAATAGTTGGTCCTTGGTTGGCGACAAAAGTGTCATTGTTCAGGCCATTATTACTATTAGCTTGAGTGTTTACTCCATCATTAACACACAGGGTGTTCTATCTATTATTTAGGACATTGTCTCTTATATTTGGGTTAACCCTCAAGTTTGACATCTCATTACCACCATTCAAGTTTGGCATTCCACTACCCCCTGGTTTAAAGTAGATGGTCCAGAAGGTGGTTCTATTCCATGACTTGGGTTCAAACCTAGAGAATTATATCCCACAATCGTCCTGGTTTGAAAGTGATTCCCTATTGGTACAACTGGTTGACATATTTGGCCTACTAATTTATTCATGATTTCATTTATCGTGTTCAATTGTTTGGCCATGTTGTCATAATGTGCGTTCCCATTTTGGGTAAATCTTTCCATATTGTGAACATTTCGTAGATTTACTTGTTCAACGACATCCTGTGTGAGTTCCCCAAGCAACGCGCGACTTAACTCTGTCATTGGTTCGTAGCGACTTTGACTCTGTCCCTCTGTTCGTGGAGAGCTCGCTGCTCCTCATATCGCTCGATCACAGATTGGACTACTCCTTGACTTGATGGTTCTATATCAGATTAGATTTACTTGTTCAACGACATCCTGAGTGAGTTCCCTAAGCAATGCCCGTATGGTTCGAGGACTCAAATTTGTCATTGACTCGTAGCGACTTTGACTGCTTTGACTCCGTCCCTCTATTCGTGAAGAGATTTGCTGCTCCTCATATCGCTCGATCACAGACTGGACTACTCCTTAGCTTGCTGGTTCTTTATTAGAATTCTTATGAGGTATAATGCTTCACTTTTCGTATCCTCAAACACCAATTGTCCCACTGGGCGTGCCAAATTATTTCGCGCGAGTTATCGCTAACAATTAAAAATAGGTTCAGACGATTGTGTAAGGAACAAACCTCTTGAAACAAAGTCCCAAAAAGGGGTACTCTATTTGTGAAGATTAAAATTGGAAAGAAGAAAAACGCTTCCAAGGGGCACAAGCACAAAAAGTAAATTGAAAATTTGCAATTAAAAAATAAATGAATTGAAATTACATATTCTCTATTGAGAGTGTTTGATTCGGGGTCCTTCCTTCTATGTCTTCTTTTCATTTTTATACTCCTTTGCTGATTTCCTCTTGTAAAACTGCTTGGAAACTGTTTGGCGCTCTATAACTACCCACTTTCTTCGTGATGGCTGACTTGTCAAGGAACTGCCGTTAACAACTATTGTTAGTGCTCTTATTGTTTAACCGCTTGTAACCGAGATTTTTGGATCGTGGGGTGCGATAAGGTTGCACAATAACTGCTTCAATAACTGAACAAAACGCTATATTCATCCAGAC